TGCCAATTTCTCCGGAGTGCAGATTAGCAATATGTCTTTATCGGCTTGGGAGGGGTGATTACCTGTACACAATAGCAGAATTGTTTGGCGTTGGGCTAGCAACTGTGGATGTCATTGTTAAGGAAGTCTGCGAGGCAATCATTAAAAACTTATGGAGGAGGGCAGTGACAAATCATTTCCCAACTTCTGAGCAGGATTTTACAGAAGCCATGGTAGACATGAACCAGCTTTGGCAATTTCCTTGCTGTTGGGGAGCAGTTGATGGTTGCCACATCCCAATTCAGTGCCCACCTGGTGGAGAGGAAGCTTGTAAAGAGTACCATAACTTTAAAAACTTTTTCTCCAATGTTATGATGGCCATTGTCGATGCTGCAGCAAGATTCATGTGGGTCAGCGTAGGTTTTCCAGGTAACTCACATGACTCAATTATTTTTCAGTCTACACAGCTTTGGAGTGATATCACGGAAAAGAAAAGTGATCCCCGAAATATCACAGAACATTCAAGGAACAGATATTTATCCTATGATTCTAGAGGATTCAGCTTTCCTTTTTCGTATTTGGTTAATGAAACCTTACTCCAATGCTGTTCTGAGTGCTGAACAGCGCTGTTTCAACTACCACCTCAGCAGGGCAAGGATGGTATCAGAAAGAGCTTTTGGCCAGCTGAAGAGTCGATGGAGAGTTCTCTACCGTAAATCATCTTGTCAACCTGATCCCGTTAAATGCTTGCATTAGCATGTGTTGTTCTTCACAATGTTTGTATAGACATGGGCGATTCCCTGCCATCACAGTCAGACTTAACAGAGCATCCAGTACAACATGGCAGAAGAAGCAGGAAGGAGGTCAGAGAACTGCTTATGATGGGAAACTGCGCCATGAAGAAGGATAAATCACATCATGCAGAAGAGATAAGAAAAGCACTTCTCGACAAATTTTGGGAAGAGAAAGAAGGGCAGTAATCTGTCAGCCTTAACTTTTATGTTTTTGCTGGATCTTCAAAAAGTGCTAAAAAGTAACAGCCTATAACTAATCAACTGTTCAACCTGAAAATTAAGTGTCTGGTTTACTTTTAAATTTTTGCTGTTTGCCAAGTGGGGATTTTCTATTGGCAAGGGAGTTTGCTTGATATAGTTATGAAATGAAGCGAGCATTCTTTAATGAGGGGGTAGGACTCCCACTAAAAGGTATGCAATACATCATGATTGTGAATATGCTGTTACACTTTTCGACCTTGTTGGACCACTGAGTTAAGCCATTTGAGTTTTGGGCATTTTCAAGAAGTACCATAATACTCTTTTTTCCCTCCATAACTTTGCATAAGCAATGTTTTTAATAGAAATTACAGTATCTGGCGAGAGTTTAAAGTCCCACAAGAAATTGAAAACAATGCTCATGCAAAAGTGTGGAAGGGCAAAAAAAAATTATGGTATTTTTGAAAGTTGAGTATTCAATTTAGGGTGAAATAATCTGCAAACACTTTAAGCATATTACCCTTAAGTATAATATTAACAACCACTATGAGGAATTGTCCCACAGGGCTTCTGAGTTAGGGAGATTATACCTTGTTGAATAAATGTTGTGTGGTTTCACAAGCCCGAAGGAAACATAGAAAACTTCAGTTTAACGTGAGAGCAGATTTTACCTACAACATGTCTACCAATTGACAAGGCCTTAGGAAACAAACATGGGTAACTATGTTAGCCAAACTTTATTGTTGCTTTATAGCTGTTTTGAGTTCTTTAAAATATTACATTTGCAACAGATGTTTGTTAATGAAACAAAATAAAACATATTAACAAAGTCCTCCAATGTTGTTTAAGGAGTATTCACTCTTTTCAAAACCACTGTTTTCATAAGAAGTATAAGCTTAAACCAAGTAGAAAGTGCAACAAAAATAGATCTTGCATTTTTTGTTCAACAAATTCTTAAACATGCAAATGTCAGAAAACCGGAGTCAATAAAAGTATTGAGTGAAACCATCAGCAGTCTCATGGGGGTACATAATCCCTGTCTGAATTTGGTTTCCAGGCACAGCATTGTTGGAAAACACATAGGCGTGCTGCTATATGCACCATGATGTTGATACTGTTGGAAGGGGTGGTGACCTGAACCTAACAGTATGTCCATATACCTTTTCTCTTGTTCTCTTGCTAGTTTCATCTCGTCGTGAATGCCTTCCAAGAGGTGTTTTGTTGGGTCATTCTCAATTACGGATCTTATTAAATCTACAGTTGATGCAATTTGGTCTGATTTATGTTTTCTACCTTTCTTCTTAACTGGTACAAATATGCTCTTCTCAGGAGGCTCCTTTGTATACTACCTTCGACAGTACTGCAATCACTGCTCCCATTCTCAATGATTTCTTTGGCAGTACTCTGATTGGCTGAATGTTCACAAGCTTGCTCAGGCTGACATGAATCACGTGACTTTACTATAGGGTAGAGTAAGTCGAACCACTTCCCATATCCTTTTTCGTCAGTCAGCCTCTTCACTCCAATTGCTGTCTTTACGGTCAGACAGATCCTCTTGCATGTGGCTACACACCAGTTAAACTTGGTTCTCATCTGCTCTACTGTGAATGGGAATGAATCTTCATATTATTCGTTCAGTTTATTTTAACACAGACTGATAAGCCTCAGTGTTGTATGCTTTCTTGGTGTTCGTGAAAACCAGCTTCCGAAGAATGTTCTCGTCATTGACGATTATGTTTACCATGTCAGTCACCTGGATCTCCAACCACGTTGCTTTTCTACCACGCTTCTTCACTTTTACCGCTGTTTCCTCGGGGCTCTCGCTATGACCATCTTCAGGCTGCTTTCTGCGTTTCTTGTTGGGGACTTGTGGCTCCTTTTCCTCGCTGTCACTGCTTAAATCTGCATCTTGATCATTCTGTTTTGATAGCGAAGATGTTTCATCTACCAAATTTACCAAGATAGATGCTTCTGGGCCCCGAGGAGTGGATGTTCGTGTATAAATTCTTACACAAGGAAGAAAGTACCCAACTCGCTTCCCCGGCTCCCATCCCTCCGCGTCTCCATCCAGTTTAGCCACAGAACATTCCAAACGAACACGTACAGGTCTGTCACATGAAATACAACTGTATTTCGTTTTAGCCTCGCATGACCAACAAGTCTGACTGAACGTTTTTCGGAAAAGGGCTCCAGCAGTCGCCATGTTTTCTATTTTTGCGGGAACTCTTCGCCCTTACGCAGCCATGCAGGTGAAAACTGTAAGCGTGGGCTCAAAATTAATCGGTGGAATAATTTATGTCGTCGAAAAATAATATATGCATTTACTTCGATGCGACTGAAAAGCGACGTATAAAACTGACACGCATTTCAGACGTTTTATCCATTTGGGGCACACGGATAAAACGTCTAGGGCGAATTTAATTTGCCAGACGAATTTAATTCGTTTTAGACGTCGCTTTAGTGTCGAAGAAAATTGCTGGAATTAAATTCGTGTGAATTAAATTCGTCTCTAATACGACGTATAAACGGGGCCTTAGAGTCAAGTGAGCTTGAGCTACAGCTACTCCATCCTCGGAGACCCAGGGACTGAGTCGATTTCAAGTTAGGGCATGAAGAGAACCTGGGGACATTGTCTTACAAGACTAGTTCCAAACGGTCGCAGTCGTTCTGCCATCTGATTAGTGCCAGAAAATCTTTGTGTTTTTCTGCCCAATCAGAGTGAAGTGTGCTTTAGAGTCCTTTCGTGTGTTTTAACGCGGACATATACTAGTGGCTCAGTTGCTCGCTATGTTTGTTTGGACCGTGCGACGGAGATTTGCATGAGGTGAAAGTTTCAGTCTCGGCACACAATATAAGAGAAATCGATCAGATTGTCCGCGAGAATCTTACCGGAAATTATACTGAATGCTTTCGCAGGTATCCCTAGAGAACGTGTTTTAAAGTTTGCGAGGTTTCTATACAACACGATGGTTGCAGTCATTGATATGTCGCTTTAAACGTTAAACGAGATTTAAGCTTAAATCTTTCTGGATTTTTTGCGTAATTTGCTGTGACTGAAACGTTGCCAATCACGTGAAGTTATCTCGTCGCACGGGCCACACAGGTATGTCGAGCAACTGGTACTTGCGCAACTTTCTGTGCGTGCCAATATCAAATCTCATCTTCGCTTGAAGAAAAAGAAAAGCTGAGCGTGGAAACTTTTGCTTATTAGATGTGGGTAGATGACCCTGTACTACTAAGCTGACATTTGCAATAAAGCAAACCCGCCCTTTCCATCCAATATTTCTTGGTCTTTGGTTTTGTTTTTCCCATTGAAAACAGCATCGGATCGATTCCCAATGATCAAAGGTATTTAACTTGGTCTTCAACAATCGACAGAAGAGGTGAAATGACAATGACCAAGGGACTAGAAGAGAATCCGTGGCCTTCCTAGCTCAAGAATTTCAACACTCTAGACAGCAGTTGAAAGATTAAACTCTTTCCAAACCCCTTCGGTAACTGCCCGAAAACATCTCTCCTTCCCACGATGTTCTCGTTAATAAGTTTTTGTTCAGATTTTAATTAGCTAACCGGAAACACAGCTAAGCTTTCTCTTAGCACTTGCTGGAGGTCGTCCACGAACTTAACGTTCTCTGCAACCTTGGCCGTATTGTGAACGACTTTACTACTAAGATTAGATTTTGGCGCGCACAGAAAGCAGAAAGCTACGTAGGCGAAAGCGCCAGTTGCTCGACATACCTGCGTGGCCCGTGCGACGAAATAACTTCACGGGATTGGCAAAGTTTCAGTCACAGCAAATTATGCAAAAAATCTAGAAAGATTTAAGCTTAAATCTCGTTTAACGTTTAAAGCGACATATCAATGATTGCAACCATCGTGTTGTATACAAACCTCGCAAACTTTAAAACACGTTCTCTAGTGATACCTGCGAAAGTATTCAGTATAATTTCCGGTAAGATTTTCGCGGACAATCTGATCGATTTCTCTTACATTGTGTGCCGAGACTGGAACTTTTCACCTCAAGCAAATCTCCGTTGCACGGTCCAAACAAACATAGCGAGCAACTGAGCTTCTAGTATATGTCCGAGTTAAAACACACGAAAGGACTCTAAAGCACGCTTCACTCTGATTGGGCAGAAAAACACAAAGATTTTCTGGCACCAATCAGATGGCAGAACGACTGCGACCGTTTGGAACTAGTCTTGTAAGACAATGTCCCCAGGTTCTCTTCATGCCCTAACTTGAAGTCGACCCACAGCCCCTGGGTCTCCGAGGATGCAGCTACTCCAAAGCAGTGAACAGCGGGCACATTCCTCAAAATTGTTTTATGTCTTCATCACAATACAAGAATTTTTGAGATTTGTATTTCCTTTCTTCAATGGAAGCTGAGTTTATTTGTGGCGGTAAATTTGAGATCGAAGTAGGGGGTTCGCACGTTACCTCATGCCACCATGCTGGTGGAAGTAAACAATGGATATCTCATTAGCTCCTTTTGTTCGTCTACCAGCATTTAAATTTGACCCACACACGTCAACGGTGAGTGACAAATGAGCCTTGATCTTCCCAGGGAAGACTTCCTTATATAGCGCGCCTTCTTGTTTAAGTTGAAGAATGATTTTGTAATTTGGCGTCAGTAAACGAGTGTTAATGAAATGATAATTAGCTAGAATTGTCTAGATATTAAATGGGTAAAAAAGTATTTAGCTTTCAATTGCCAGTGTTGATATTGGAAATCGTTCTTAAAGGATTATTTTTTCGTACTTTTAGTTCGATGGAATGAGGAAAACGCTGAAAGTAGTAACCCCATAGAAAATGTAGACTTTCAAGCTTTTTCGTTTTTCTCTTTTCGGGGCCAATTTAGATACCGAGATAGAAACTTTAGGTTGTGGCTTATGAGTAAAGCTTATTAATCTTGGTCTTGAGGACTTTTAAAAGACAACTGCCCGAGGGGTATTGGAACGAGAAGAAAGCGAAATCGATTGCATTAA